GTGAGCAGCAGCACTCGAGGCGGTTAGTTCTGCAGTGTTTGCTTTTGAATGTACATGCAAAGGGAGTTTGATAGAGGTGCAGCACTTAAAGCTGCTACAGCTTCCTTGACGAGATGGGCGTACAGCAGACGGACAGATTCAAACAAAACATACAGAAAAAGAGAAGCATAGCGGTATCTCTCGCTTGTTGAGGTGTACAGACAGGGAGGCACTGCAAGAAGGTAAAAAGAGGGGCAGAAGATATCGCCTTAATGCAAAGAAGCCTCTCTATTGACGTTTCTAAATCTAATGCTGAAGCTGAATTGGAGAGGCTAAGAAATTATATTTTCATTTATTGTTGCAAGTAAACAGAAGCAGAGGAGGAGAAAAAACAACAGCATAGACGAATGGATAGCTAGAAGAAGAAACCCATTAAACACCAACACTCTTCTTTTCGTTGTCTGTTCATGCCTGCCTAGCTTCTTTAGAAGCTCGCTAAGGCAACAACACCAATTGAGACTGTCTATATGAAGAGTCTTGGGGGTTTCTTCGGGGAGAAAGGGGAGAATAATGTTTAAAATACCTCGTTTATACTTAAAAATAAAGGAAGTATAGTGCTTTTCAAGAAAGCCGTAGAAGCTGTATGCAAGAGCAGACAAACGCCGCTGCGTGGAGAGCTATTATCTAGGAGCTTGTCGGGTATTAGGCAAGATGATTTTGAGTATATTCCTGTAGAAATTGTTGAACGGCACTTAAATAGTAATTAATAAGTATATAATATATTAAATCAAGAAAACAAGCGAAAAGCTGAGGTGTCTATACACCCCACGGTCCGGTCGCTCCGCTCACGGCATTTGCTTCGACTCGACAGTCGTTTCCGTGCATCTGCTTCATTCTCGCTGCATCAAGTGCATTATTCTGCTGTTTTTTGAGAGTCGTATGGAGTATTTGCTTTTAATTGCTCTGATTAATTAAATAAAGAGTCTCATTTAGAGGCTGAGTCTTCTCCGATTTACCGTTTGCCGTTCTTTCCTTTGAAGGCTTGCCTGAGCTGCCTCCCCCGCTCTTCGTGAAAAGCAGCGGAAACTTCCTCTTATTTTATTAAGTTTGCACTTTGTTTGGTTTCTCTTGAGTTTATCCTTCTTCTAATTTGCATTTAACTTCACATTCTCACAGTTTGACTTCCTGTCTTCACGGCAGCGGGGGGGTCCGGTGGAGCTGTTGGCTGACGAGCATCTTCTTTTTAAGGTGAAGTTGGAGGCAGAGGACGGAATTTTTTCGATATTGTGGGAGTAAATAGCTTTCAGAAGGACTGATAGCAGCAAGCTTGTCGTTTTGTCGAGAGAACTTACAGTTGATTGAAGACCGGTGCACCGATCCATTGGTGTGCTGGTGTATATATATGCATGCTTTGTTTTCTTCGCTGGCGGAGCGAAGGCTGATTTGTTTTTAATCTTTTTATTATTTTCTTATCCATTCCTAAGCTCAAAAACATCCTTGGAGATGGCGTCGAAGATGAAGCTGCAGAGGCGTCGTCTATCGTGGGGTGCGCTGAGACGCGTGATGTTGCTGTTGGGTGTTTCTTTGCTTTGTTCGTTCGTTCTGACGCCTCTTGCTGCTTATTCAGGAGATTTCTCTGTTTCTCCTGGAGGGACTGAGCCCGATCAGGTTTCATCTTACTCGCGAGCAGTAGGAGATGTAGGAGCGGATATAGGCTCAGACGGGGGTATGTCTGTAGCTTCTGTTACTTCGGGAGAAGAGGTAGCAGTAGAGGATGTAGCAGCAGCAGAAGAAGCAGCAGCAGCAGCAGCAGAGGAGGAGGCAGGAGCAGAAGATGATCAACCCACCTTGAAGACTCCTTCATCTTCTCCTCGTCGTTCAAAATTACCCAAGTCAGCGTTTGCTGTGAGTGTTCTTACAGCTTCTATTGGTGCTGCTGTCTTTGCATCTCTTCTTCTTCGAAGAGAGATTCAAAAGCAAGAGCAGGAGGTTGTGAAGCTGCAGAATTTGCAGCCCCAGATGGAGCGGCTTGCTGATCTTGTAGGAAGCGACAAGGCAGTACAGCTTGGGACGAAGTATAAAGAGTTAATATCTTCATTATCTGAATGTATGGATAGGATTTCAGCAGAAAGAAACCCTGTGCAGCTACGCGCTTTGTGGAGGCAGTTAGAAGAGGGTGTTGAGGCTGCTGTACAGACAGTAGGAGATCTACAGCGTGAAGCAGATCGCGTATCTGTTTCGTTTGAAGAACTACCTGTTCTAGATACAGAGCCCTGGATTGCTCTACAGCCAGCGTTCTCTACTCTTGGAGTAAGAGACTTCACAGAAGGTATACTTGGGCTACAGAAGTTCGCAAAAGATTTGCATGCAAGCAGTGCTCAAAGAGCAGGAGCTAGAAGAGAGGCAATCCGGTCGCTGCCAGCCGTTACTAGCATTGAAGACAGCTGGGTAGTGCAGCAACTAATAGAAGAAATGCTGCATCTTCAGACAGATTTCGATGAAGCAGAGCAGTGCGTAGAGCTCTGGGAGTCTGCATTGGGGCTAGCAGAATCCGCAGTGAGAGATAAAGTAGTAAACACGACTGCGGTGTCTGTACAGCAGCTCAAGTGCGAAATAGATTTACTTTCAAGTTTCTGCTTTCTTGTTAAAGAAGCTATGGATAATGCATCTCCTAAGACACGAGCTTCTCTGTCTAAATTATTAGATAGCAAGAAGCAGATGTCCAGAAAATTTGAGGAGCTTGTTGCTGTTCAAGCTGAGATGGCGTACGTAGAAGATGTTGCAGATGTATTGATGCTGGAGGCTAAAGCAAGTGCTGCTTCTTCTTTTATACGCAAGACAGCAGAGCATATGATGATGCAACTAAAGGCTGTAGAGCATCTACTCGGGCCCTGCGAGACTGGGAAGCAGCAAGCTGTACAGTTTTTACAGCAGAAAGGAAGTGAAGCTGTGCAAGCAATTGAAAGAGCAAGAAAGGAGTTAGAAGCAGGTACTAGACGAATGCAAGCAGACTTTACTGAGCTTGTTGCAGGGCTTCCTGCTTCTGTAGATGATATATTAGGTGAGAGGATAGCGGTTGGGCTAATGGATGAGGTTGCAGAGCTGCTGCTGCTGACAGAGAATGTTCAAAGTGCAAGCAAGACGGAGCTGGAGGCATTGCTTCGTTCAAAGTCTCAAAGAACAGCAAATAGATTTGCTAGAGATATATTCTATGGTCTTTCAAAGGCAACTCAAAGCCTCGGGAGCTTCTCTGTATTGAAGCATCGCTTTGCTTTATATAGAACTGTTGAAGCTGAGACTGTTATGAGTGCAGATGCAGCATTTGCTGCTCGTCAATTCTTCTTCGCTCCTCAAGAAAGGGAGCTTGTACAGCAGAAGCTTTCTCTCTTTGGACAGCAAGCAAAGAGAGCAAGAGAGTCTGAACGAATAGCAGACTTCGTTAAGATTGCAGCAGATCTGCACGGCGTAGCGCATCAACTACAGCATCACCTTCTTGATGCAAGGTACTTGAAGGAGAACGTAGCAGGAGAAGCAGCTTCAGCAGCAGCAGATGCTTTAGCAGCAGCAGCTGCTGCTGCTAAATCTGCGGGGAGCACTCAGACTGCAGATGATACTGATGCTGCTGCCGATGATAAAGCTGCTGACGATGTTGATGTTGTTGCAGCTATTGACGCTGCTGAAGCTGCTGAAGCTGCTGCAGCTGCTGCTGCTGAAATTGCTGCTGCTGCTGAAGTTGCTGCTGCTGCTGATGCTGCTGCTGCTGCTGCTGCTTCCCAAGAAACTCAGGATGATGATGAAACAGCTCCACCGCAGCTGCAAGAAGCAGAGGCTAACGAAGAAGAAGAAGAAGAAGA